AAGGTGCTTATAAGTGGCTGGAGGGCACTTGCTGGCATCCAGGGGTGGGGTGGAATGGGGTTTGTTAAGCTCTCATACTTGGAGAACTGACTGCATCTGACATACGTGGATCCAAAGGACATTGCCACCAGGGTGGCCCTGTAGGGGACTGTTATATTCTTTCTACATAATCACTTTAATAATGTGAGTGTTCACACTTGGATTCATATGGCCATTCAAAACAAGAGGCAGAAGGGTGCAGAGCAAGTGGCCCTTGTGAAGAGCAAGCCTGCATCCCAACCCACTGCTTGCTTCAAACCTGCCCATGTCTATGTGCTCTACAGGCAGTGTGAGAATTAGTGGCCAGAGGCTGGTCACAAACCCCAGCTGTGTTTACTTCCCCTACACAGCTGTTCTGGGATCCGTGGACTGAGGACATTGAAAGAGCACTATAAACTGGCTGTTTCCTCTTAACAATGGCTTCTTCCATGAAGCCTGTGTGTGTGTGTGTGTGTGTGTGTGTGTGTGTGTGTGTGTGTGTGTGTGTGTGTGTGTGTGTGTGTGTTCACATGTGTGCATGTATGGGTTTTCCCTACCTTTCCTGGGGCCTCTGGACAGGATGAGAAGCATCTTTGGGCTTGATCCCTTCCCTCCCACTGGATAGCAGATTCAACCTGCCTCCAGGATTGAAGTATTTCTTCAGAAGGGAGTGAGTGTGACTAAGTGACAGAGTAAGATATTGAGGCATGAGCAAAGAAACAGCAAAGGGTAGCTTACAGCATCGTCCTGAAGTTATCTTGGGGGCATTTAAACCCTTCAATACTGAGCCACTGCTTGTTTGGAAGAAGCAAGGGTGAACAGGTGATGGGGATGTGTCAAGCTAAGGAATGCCCGGCTCCCCCTCCTATATGATGACCCAGGCTGTTCATTCCATTCTACCTGACACATGCCATCCTGGCCCTGCTTCCCTCTAGTTAGAGCCTGGCACGAGTATGCTGGTCATTCAGTCCTCTTTGGCCACAGGTCTTGGTCAATGGCCCCTTCCATACTGAAAACTCTCCATCCACTTCTTTTAAAACGTTTTATTCAATAATATATACTTTTAAAATAATAATATGTAACTGCCCATCATGCCATACACTGCCCCCATCCCATCTGTGGAGTCTGTGGTCAGCTAGTCCTTGGGATTTGCTGGAGCAACAGGCAGCCATGGGACAGGTCAAGGGCACAGGGAGCAACAGTAACCAACAACCATTTTTGCATACCCTTCACATTTCCCATGCTTTCTGGGTCGGGAGGAAGTCAACAGGAAGCCAAAGGCATGTGAACCTTTTACATTCGGAAGTGAGGTCTGATTTACGGTGGTGGGCTGCCCTTCAGGTGGTCTAGTTCGTGCTCGCCAAGCCTGCCACCATTTTGTGTCTGCTCTCAGGACGTGATCTCGCTACGCACGCGTTAAGACGTTTGATTTGGTTCTTGTTCTGCTTATGGAAAAGTATGAGGAACCGCAACAGACCTGGGGAGAGATGGGAGGAGGGAAAAGAGGGCATTAATCAATCTGAGTCAGAGTGAGAGGCAGACCACCTGGGACAGGGCTGGGGATGGGGCGCAAGCTTGTCTTCTCCACGCCACTTGATGGGACACTGGCTGTATGAGCACAGGCCTTGAAGTGTCTGTCCTCTTCCTGCTCTTTGACCCCAACAGAGGCAGCCATCAGCCTGCCTTCTGGATAGGAACTCTGTCCACATCATACCACAATCTTGCCCTGTACTTCAAGTTCAGGTGCTGATGGAAATGCCTTGTGACCTCATCCTGCAAGTCAGACAATAGGTCCAGCTCCAGGGGCTCAGACCTGACACACTCACTGATTGAGGGCATCTTGAGTCTAAGAATCTGATGACTTGGTATTCACTCAGGGAAAGGGTCAAATCCACTGGTCGTTGAAGGGCAGCAGGCATGCTCAAATTATTTTCAGCCTGCCTCTGCGAACAGGTAGCTGTCTGGCATGGCCTCCTTCCATACCCATCATGGTAAAGTAGGTGACTGACAGGCCAGTGACTAGATTCTAGAGAAAATGAGGAAAACACTTGGCATCCAGTAAGCTGTGGAAACTTCCCTGGGGGAAAGGGTTCTTTCTACTGCTTACAGATGAGAAAAGCTGCTCAGGTATGCTAAGAATTACATTTCATCCAAGGTCTTTAGCTGTTGTCCAGGGTCCAATCCAGAAGGACCGGTGAGGGATAAAAGCACATGCATGCAAGACCCCTACCATCAGCCAAATGATGGCACAGGCCTACATTCCCCGTGTGTGCTGCAAGGAATAGTGGGGAGAGATTTTCACAAATGGCCAAGCCTGGGTCCCTAAAGTCATGTAATAAAACAAGCCAGTTCCGAAAAGCAGCGGTCTTAAGTGATGCCATTCAGAAACAGGTAGAGAACAAATCCACCACGACACTCCAGTCTCACTCCTAAAGAAGTCTTCACACCAAAGTGATGGCCTCAGCCACCACATACGTCTTCAAAGATCGAAGTTTATGCCGGTGGCACTCCCCACTCCCTGGGCCAGGACAGGAAATGCAAACAAGCTAAGGTCCCCAGCAACTCTTTGTCTCCTAGCTGGGAAAGTCAGGCATTCTTGCCATGGCCGCCCATGTCAGTCATCCAGGCTACATCGTGGAACTGGGTCTGTAGTGTTCATTTGGAAAGGATCACAACACAGGCAATGTTGTTTTCCTGCAAACAGAAGGCTCGTTGGTTCTTGAAGATTATCCAAGCTTGCCTCTGGATTTCAAGATTTCTGTCCCAAACTTAGTCACCATTTACAGCAAGAAGAGCCAGCAAGTGAAAAACTTAAATTTATTGATTCAAAGGTTTTTTTTTTTTTTTTAAATCCCCAATACATGCAGTTCAGGGTTAAGTGTCACATTTGTAGCACATTGTTGAGTATTGACACAAAAATATGCATCTGCTGCATAATCCAACCTTGCCAGCGTCTACAACAAAGACACCCACCCAGCACAAAAGCAAGTGCTCCTGGCCACCTCCCTCCCCCATCATCTGCATGCTGGGACTTACCACAGGACAGTCAGTTTTAATTTATTAAAATCCCTGACAAACTCAGGTTCTTGTGTGCTCACAAGATCTGCTTGCTTTTGCTTTCAGAAGGGCTAGCATTCTGCAACCACCTCTCCCCAGCTCTTACCCATTAACTCACATTAAGAGCTCCAGAGACTGCCCTTCCCTGTACATATCTTGGATTCTAAACTGGCATTAAAGGAAACAGATAACTGATTCCTACATTTATCTCAATGCACATAGAAACTCTTCCCATTGTTCCTGTCCTCAAGCTCTGCCGACACAGCAGCATGCTCCCAGAGAACCTAGGTTGTTTCCCTGAGTAGGCACAGACCCTGAGGACCTTGGCAACTATCTCTCAAGGGCCAGTGGACCCAAGCCAAGGGCAGTGTCTTCAAGCACATTTGTGACAGGAGCTTAGTGTCCCCTAGTTTCATTTTCTTATTGGAACCTTTTCTTTCACCTGCCCCTCTCCAGCCACCTTCTCTAAGTCTCCAGGACTCCCAGTTCCTTTCTCTCTGCAGTCAGCCTGAGAATACTTTCCCTTCCCCAAAAGGAGCCATGTGCCCTAAGCCAGGTGGGCACGAGCATGTTAAGGGAAGGCCCACAAGGAAGTCTAGCTGGGTACTCTACTCCATAGCAAGCCTCAGTAACACATGCTCAAATTACAAAGGCAATGGCTTCTATTGCAGCCACCCACAACAGGGGCAGGAGCAGGGTCAGCTGACTGGAGAACAAACTGTCACCAACACACTTCTTAGTTAGCATTCTCAGCATGGCTCAGCCCAGGCAACTGTGAGGTCATGCTCCTTGTGGATACCAAGGAGACACTGATCTGGAGTCAGCCCTGGGGCCTCAGCTCAGCACACCAGGTGCCCGTTCTTGAACACAGGCAGTACCTGAGATGACAGTGCAACACTACCCTGTTCCCCACTATAGGTTTGTGGGTTGTGTTTTATTTTTTTGCTTTTCATTAGGAAATAATTAAGTCCTTGTCATAGGCACTTTTAACTTGTAATAAGGTAATGAAGCAAACAAATGGAAATTACTGAGATGAGTATAAGAAGTATGTATATTCATTGTAAAGGATACCGAGTGGGTCAATTTACCAGGTTAGTCTGTATATAAGACTAGACTCCTCTCTCTCTCTCTCCCTCTCTCTCTCTCTCTCAACTCCTCCCTCTCTCTCTCTCTCTCTCTCTCTCTCACACACACACACACACACACACACACACACACACGTGCGCGCACACCCTTTAAAACTCTCCAAACCCAGATAAAATATCCAGGGGCTGTACCCAAGATAGATTTGGAGACAGGTAAAATGTCTACTAGATTCACTGTAACTTGGTAAAGACCAGCCCAGGCAGAGTCCACATCCAGAGGGAGCAAGCATGAAGTCCAAAGAATGCTCCAGAGCTAAGGCAGAAGAGAGGTAAAATACAGGCACTGCTTATTACAAAGGACATGCCCTGCTGAGTTTTCACTCAAGGACCTCTCTCCTAGAGCATGCCAAAGGGGAGAGTCAGGGGAACATGGCCAACTTTTCTCCCAGAAGTTTTTACTATCTCTGGAGGACCCAGGGCAGAGAGGTGGGGTCACTGCTCAATTGAGACCCCCCACCTCAACAGGCTCTTGAACAACTTAAAAGACAGAGAAGAAACATGGGTGATCAAGGAGATGAGGTTAGAAAACAGGAAAGACATATGGTGATGACACATCCCATGACAACCAAGGGCACATGAGAAGGCCCATGGTAACTCCCAACACTTGAGGTTTGCTACTTGACATGCTAACACAGGGTCAGTAGCATCCATGTCATGTTTCCGATTCTCAGGAAGAACAAAAGTAAACATCAATCTACAGAAGGTGAGATGAAAGGAGGCAGGGTCTGCATGAAAACCTTAACTAGATGTCAAAGTTCTGGCTTTATAAAGGGTCTTAAAGAAGATTTTTAAAACTTTATTTATTGTGTGTGTGTTTACATGCCACAGTGCACGTGTGGAAAGAGGACAACTCATGGGAGTAGGCTCTCTCCTCACCATGTAGATTTTGGGAACTGAATTCTTTGCAGCAAATGCCTTTACCTGCCATGTCACTGGCCCAAGATCTTACTTTTTAACTTATGAACTGAACTCCATACTATCAAGAAGAGTTACATTTGTCTTTTACGTTCACACAGACCAAACGACAAAATAGAATCTGCATTTAGAGATGGACCTGCTACCAATACCAATACAAGTTTATTGGAATTTGGAATGTAAACAGATGTTTCAAACAAACAATCTAACCTTATAAAAATGTATGGCATTATTAAATAGTTAATGAAGAAACCCTAAGTGTGATGTGGTAGATACCCCAAGCATGTTAGGTCCCCAAAGCTGATGCATGGCTCTGCAGCCAAGGAGAAGGGACTAGCTGGCAAACCATGTCAGTGACCAGTCCCCCAAATGAAATCAGCTCTATAAAAAACAAAAACAAAAAACCCCAAACAAAATCTAGCTCTCTGCTAACATGAAGGTTAGCACATAGCTGTGACACTTGCTCCAGGAGCCCCCTTCCTCTCCCAGGCCCTGGCCATCTCTCTCCAGCCAGCTGCAGGAGTCACAGGACAGCCTTGCCCACAAGCTATCGTCTGCATGTCAGATACTTCTTTGCCATTACACTCATGTATGACCTATTAGAGCTGTAAATGCCCATCACCCTGATTGTAGCCAGACCTGTTTGTCACGGGGTGAAAAAGAGGGAAGATGGTAGGTGTGCCTTTTGCATATGTGAGATCTTTCCTGAATACATTCTAATAGAACACTTCCCTCCCTCTTTGACCTGCCGGAAGACTAACGTTCCAGCTGCAGCTATGGCTGTGAACAAAAATAAGTCTTTGTTTTAGGGTGGTACATTGAAGTAGGTGCCCACACAAAGATGTGCTGAGAAATGGTGAAGTTTTCCTTATGGGGGGTGGCGCTAAAAAAAAAAAAAAAAGAGAGAAAAAAGAAAAAGGAAAAAAGAAAAGAAAAAGCAACAAGATTCAATAGTTAGGCAAATCAATAAAGGTGAGCCCCAAGTTATGCACACAGCATGAAACTTCTAATGAACCTGGGACCTGTTCATGGCATCTCAAGATTTACAGTGCCATCTTCCGACACTAAAGAGGATGTGGTGAGAGTGACTGCAGTTTGCTTCCAAATGAATATACTTAGAAGAAAACTGCAAGAATGAGGTACATTTCCTGGAGAGCTCATGTCATAAAAAAATACATAACACATGAATTTGTAAAAGAGCTTAAAAAAAATACTGTCACTGTTTTAATCTTTTTTTTCTTTTCTTTTTTCTTTTCTTTTTCTTTTTTTTTTTTTTTTTTTTTTTTTTGTAAATGAGGCTGGTGTGTCAGAATAGACTGCTGACTTGCTAAAACTTGAGCCTGAATTCTCACAGAAGAAAACCAGACACCACAATGGAATAGATAGGAAGTCAGATATTCAGAGCTTGTTGACCGAACGGGTTAATTCAACAGTGGTATCCTGTTAAACGCAGGTACGTGTACAACAACTCCGAGCTTCTCATCTCCCATGCATTCCAAAGGGAGAGTCCCCTCAGATCCTGAACTATGTGCACTGCCACACTGTACAGCGCAGCTCCCTGCAGACTAGTACTGGGGAGTTTCTTGCTTTTGACAGGCTTTAGGTCTTTACTCTTCTTTGCCTTTAGAAGGAATGATTAGAATTTCTTTTTATCACACTGCAGTTTCCTTCAAGTTTTTGTTTGGTTGGTTGGTTTTATTGGCAAGCATCAGTGCCGCATTACCGTCGATTCCCCAGGCTTCATCGTGCTGCGCTGAGGCCACTGGAAAGCACGGTGTTCTCTGCACAAGGCTGGGACTGCTCCTTCACCACAGGGTCTGCAAGAGAGGAGGAGCACAGGTCTCCATGTCAGCACCAGCACTGAGGGTGTAGTGGGAATGCCATGGCTAACCTGCCTTTCCTCTTCTATATGCACCAAGACAGACACTTACATGGAACTCAGGCCACACAAGAACCAGGCACCAAGACATGACCAGGAAAGAACTCCTTTTCTTTTTGCCCTCAAGGCAGGGAATAGAACCCAGTCTCACACATGCTAGGCAATCAACTAAGTCACATCCTCAACTCCTTCTGAAAATTTTTTTTGTTGCTCAGACTAGCACTGAACTCTCATTCTTCTTTAGCCTTAGCCTCCAGCATAGGCCAGGGTGGCCCTCATGCCCACTGAGGAATTATATAGAGTTGATTTTTTTCTACTTCCTTAGAATACAGACCCTACTGCTAAAAAGCAGAGACCCCAACTCACCACTGTTCAAAATTCACAATATTTCTGGTGATTTCTGAGTACCAACATCATACCTAGCATGTCATAAACAAGGGTGAATAAAAAAGCCATTGACAACTGGGAGGTGGTGGCGCAGGCCTTTAGTTCCAGCACTTGGGAGGCAGAGGCAGGCGGATCTACAAGAACTAGTTTCAGGACAGCCTCCGAAGCCATAGAGAAACCCTGTCTGGGACACGCCCCCCCCCCAAGAAAAAAGAAAACAAACAAACAAAACCCCAGCCATTTTAAGCAGCAGTGAAATATGGAGTTTATTTAGGGAAGTAAACAAACAATGATTATCTAAAATATCTATCAGGTTGTTTTTATTATTATTCCTGAGGCAGGGCCTAACTATATACCTTAGATGGTCTTAAATTTGCAATCCTTACACATTTGCCTCATGAGTTTACACCAGTACTGCTTTTTATTTTGGTTTTGTTTGTTTGCTAGCTTGCTTGCTTGTTTTTTGAGACAGGGTTTCTCTGTGTAGCCTAGGCTATCATGGAACTCACTCTGTAGTTCAGGCTGGACAATTTGAACTCAGGGATCCACTTGCCTCTGCCTTCCCAATCCTGGAATTAAAGGTATGCATCACCACCGCCTGGCTATTTTGTTTGTTTGTTTGTTGTTGTTGTTGTTTTTAAGATACAGTCTTACTATGTATCCCAAGCTGGCCTTAGACTCACAAAGATCTGACTAACTTTGCCTCTGAGTACTTGGTTTAAAGGAGTGGACCACCACTCAGGGCAACACCAATATCCTAAAGTGGCCTATCTTGAAGGATAAAAGCAGCTTTCTGTGTTGGAAATTAGAAAGCAAACAATGGAATGTCAGCTGTTTAGGGTCCAGAAGGCTAAATGAGAAGACCCTTTACATTTTTTTGTTGCCTTAAACTTCTGCCTAAAGTTTAAGATCATGGCAATAAGTCCTTCCTATCTGTTAATATTACTGGGAATTAGTAAACTCCAAAGGAAAAAGTGGTCAAACAACAGACAAAAACTTTAAGGAACAGAAATGAAGATAAGTCACATTCAACTTCTTCCATGACTAGACTAAGCCACCCTCTTCTGTCAATGACAAGGGTGATGTGTCTAGGAGACTTTCAGTGGGAAGAACACTACATGGACCCAAAACACAAGCAAGTGCAGAAGGAACACATATGCTCCGAGAGATGTCACAGGTCAGAATCCAGCTGCCATACCTGCTACCTGCTTACCTGCAATTCCTCTTGCTTACATGTTGCTTCCTTTAGAATCACATTAAAAAAGCAATGATCTTACTACTTTGTTTTGTTTTTCAAGACAGGGTTTCTCTGTGTAGCCCTGGCTGTCCCGGAACTCACTCTGTAGACCAGTCTGGCCTCAAAATCACAGAGATCTGCCTGCCTCTGCCTCCTGAGTGCTGGGATTAAAGGTGTGTGCTGCCACCACCACCCGACCTGATCTAACTACTTTTAACTAAATATTATTATTATTATTATTATTATTATTATTATTATTAATTGGTTCAAATTAGAAACAAGCTTGTTTCATATGTCAATCCCTTCTCCCTTTCCCTCACCCCCATCCCTCCTCCTCCACCCCCCCTAAATTTTTTTTAAAAGAGAAAAAATAATCTTTGATTAGGTTTTTGCACTTGAAAAAAAAATCTTAGATACCTTTCAGTATACAAGCCCAGGGTGATGACAGTGGGTTATACAGCCTGGCCTCAGAGGTACTACTAACATTGAACAGCAAACACCTTCGAGAACTAATCAAATCACCCATAAAATGGCCTCAGTGGTCCAGTAAAATGAATAAAATTTAAAGCCAAATTCCTAGGCTGATCTAAATCCAAATACCTAGTTTTCTGTCTGACCCCAAAGATAAAGGTGACATCTTTTGCCATTTAATAACTCACAGAAGTACGGGTGCTCCATGGCCTCTTTGGCAGTCAGTCTCTGTTGATGGTCGTACCGCAGGAGCTTGTCAAGAAGATCTAGGGCCTCAGGACTGACAAGGTGTCTGTTTTCACTATGGATAAAGTTTTCCCAGCGCTTCCGTGAATGTCTAAAAAACAAAAACAAACAAAGTGAATATTAGTATTCTGAGACTAAACAACCAGATAAACCCTCCTTTAATAGACATAACATAAACAAACCCTTAGAATACTGCACTTCGTGCAACAGCTGAAGCTCATTCTTATCGGTGCCCACTTCAAATGGGCTAGTATACACACACTGTCACCCACAGTTATAACCATGACATAAAACTGCTCAATTATTAGATGAGCAGAATCTATTGAAAATATCTATATCTGAGGGAGAATTGTTCAATCTTTCTGGATTACTCTTATGCCTGTCTTTTAATCAACCGTGAGTAAGGCCTGGCGGTGACTAAGTGATGCACTGGTCAGTAGATATATTTAGAAGGTTGGCTTTAGAAACAAGCAATTTCATAAAATAATGCCTGAAGACCACTAGCCAAACATTTACTTTTAACACACTGCACTGAGGCTGGACATGGTGGCACACACCTATAATTGAGCACTCAGGTTGAGGCCAGGAGGCTACACAGCAAACAAATAAGACCATCCCCACCCCAAAATACCTAAGTCACGAAACTAGGTACTGTACCTGAAAATTTAGCATGCCTTAATATTTATTATAAAACTTCAGAAAATAAGCTATTCACTTATTTGAAGAAGCCTCGTTTTCTAAGATTTGCCATCAAAATAAGCATATGCAGGGCTAGGGAGATGGCTCAGTAGTTAAGAGCACTGGCTGCTTTCCCAGTGAACCCAGGTTCAGTTCCCAGCACCCACATGGTAGCTATTAACTATCTGTAACTCTACTTCCAGAGGACCCCTTTTCTGGCTAAGCATACACACACAGTACATTATGTGCACACAGGTAAAACAGGCTTACATATAAAACAAGAAGAAATAATTTCTTTTGAAAAAGCACAAGCTTTGACCAAATAAACATTTTTTCTATAACATTATGACTTTATTTTCCATTTGCTTCCACAGGATCAAACTCTTGATTCTCCTGCTGCAGCCTCCCAAGTGTTGTGATTAGAAACATGCATATCTACACAAGGCTTATTTTCCATTTTCTACTGATAAATAGGAGTCGTACCATTTGGGAGGCCAAGGCAGGTAGATCCCGGTGAGTTCAAAACTAGCCCTGATCTACATAGCCACTGAGACCCTGGTTCATTCAATAAATAAGTAAATAAATATCAATATTGAAGTTAGAAAAGGGAAACTGGATGTTGTCTAACTTTACCACTTCTGAAGTAGAGCAAAGTGCTTCCTTCTTTCCTTTCTCCTTCTCTCCCTCCCTCCCTCTCCTTTCTTACTTACTGTCCCAAGATATCATTGAAGTGTGGATCTAGGTCTATGTGGTACTTCTTCAGATATCCATACAGCTCATCTGTCCCCAGAACCTTGGCAATTCGAACAAGCTGAAACACAGAACAAAACTGACCCAACCACCAAGCACAGTGCTTTCTGTGAGCTTTTGTGGACACTGTGCTAGGCCTGGGAATCAGGAAATCCCATGCCACTCAAATCCCAAATGACTTAACAGAGACCCGAGTCTAGGATAAACAGAGACTTAAGAACACAACACTCACATGAATGCAAGTTTCTAAACTGCTTTAAAAAAAAAAAAAAAATTATTATGTATATAGTGTTCAGCCTGCATATATCCCTGCAGGCCAGAAGAGGGCACCAGATCTCATAACCGATGGTTGTGAGCCACCATGTGGTTGCTGGAAATTGAACTCAGGACCTCTGGAAGATCAGTCAGTGCTCTTAACCTCTGAGCCATCTCTCCAGCCCCCTAAACTGCTTTTAAAGGGTTGATATAACTTAGATGCTAACATCTTTGGGGACACTGATCAAATAACTATAATGTGATTTTGTTAGATAAAGAAGTGCCTTACTTCTTAGACCCATCTTGAAAGTTCACTAGGCAGCATTGTCTGTCTCGGCATGCTTGGGGCCCTCATGCTCACTCATACAATTCTGAACAATCCTTTAGCTTACACAGTCCCCAGAGGCTATTTCCCTAACATTCATGACAAACAAGCAAGGGATGAATCTGCTCACCTGGTCATAGTTGTCCTGCCCATGGAAGAATGGCTCCTTTCGGAATATCATGCTCGCTAACATGCAGCCCAAGCTCCACATGTCTAAGCTGTAATCATACATCTGAATGCAGGAAGGATGATCCATCAGTCAAGGATAGTTAGACACTCATTGATTAAGTTTCTCATATCCATCTGACCTCTAGCTCTGACTTTTGACATCTGACCTCTAGCTCTGACTTTTGAGAGAGCCTTATACACATTAGGCAAACATCTACTACTAAGTTCCATCCTCAGCCTCTCTGCAATTACTCTGTAACTAAGTCACCGCACCCCGCCACCCCAAAAAGCCACCAAAAGACTCAGCTGGTAAAGGCTGTCAAGCCTACTAAACTAAGTTTAGTAACAAGAACCAATATGGTGGAGAGAACAAACACCTGCAAGTTGTCTTCCGACCTTCCCACATGGGCTGTGGCACATATACATACATGCATAAAAATAATTAATTTTTTAATGTTGCTGAGTAAAACCTTTAGAGTAGAATAACTGGGTTTTGAATGCATCCAAAGTGACCACACAGCAACCAGGAAAATTCCTAAGGAAATATAAAAATAGCTCTGCGCAGCTTCACTAATAAGTTCACCTGATAGTCCACAAGGAGCTCTGGTCCCTTGAAGTACCTCGAGGCCACTCGAACATTGTACTCCTGGGCAGGATGATAGAACTCCGCCAGACCCCAATCAATCAGTCGGAGCTATGAGAAAGACAAAGACCCAACAGAATGGGTAAGGTGCACTTTGAGATGCCATTGCCTATGACGAGGCCACACTGCATCTCTACAACAGGTATTCGGCCACACACAGTGTACCCAGGAAAAAGTTTACTTCAGAAACTGCAGATGAGGTCATTTATGGAGCACAGTACTTGGAATATATCTGAGTTTTTTCCCTTTTAAGTTATACTGTTTTTTTTTTTTTTTTTTTAATTTTTTTCTGGTCTCCATGCTACTTACATGTGGAACACATGCCCCCACCATTCATAGCTCTTAACATAAGCTCCAGGCACTAATGAAGGGCTTACGTGTGTGACCACGTAAGTCACACCCTTAGAGTGCTGCTCTAGTTGGTCACTAAGCTAACCCTGTCTATGACAACCAGAGTTGGAAACACCCAAGTGTATTTTTTTTAGGGCTAGTCTGACTGGTCTAATGCTCACGAAGAATCAAAGCAGAGACCACTGATGTAGTTTCTTCCTGAGGCCCTTTGAACACTAAAACCAAAATAAAACTAGTGACCAAAGTCAAGGTCTCTGTGTACTTCCTGGAGACTAGAGAAGTCAAAGTAATGCAGTCTACTTAAGAAATCAGTGTGGTCTACATACACCACAATGCTATTGGACAATGTTTAGGTTTTTCCTAAACCTTCAGCAAAGATTTGGTGCTGCCTGGCTGGATTGGTACCTTTTTTTGTTGGTGATCTATCATGACATTGTGAGGTTTCACATCCCTGTGCATGATTCCCTTGCTGTGGCAGTAATCCAGAGCCTAGTAGGTAAGAAAGCACAGAGAAAAGTAAGCAAACCCTCTACCACCCACAACGCAAACACATTTTTATTATTTGTGACACTTTAACTTGAACAGTCTCAAAAAAGGACAGCTTACTGCCTTTAAGGAGAGAAACAAAAAGATGCTCTCCGTGGACACTACAGCTGGCAGCCAGTGGAAAGGGGGCTGTCAATGATCATGCTGAAGGTTGCTTTAAAAAGAAGGGATGAGAGGCCAGAGTGTGGGACCTCAGAATCCATGTGGGCATGAAGAATGACACCTTAACGTATCTTAAAACAAGGCACACTTATGCTATGTGGGCTATGAGTTTTCCAGATAAGAAGCATTTACATTTTCCGTAAACATAAAACCTGAGCCAGCATTTAAGAATTATCATTACTATTCTAAAAGAGAAAACTACTTCCTGTAATAGAATCAAAAGGCTTTGTGGTGTTAAAAGCCAATGATCTTTAGTAAACTGACAGCTGTATAACCAAGTCACCATGTTTCAGAGCTTTTCAGCACCTTCACAGTTTCCTGGAGTTTGAGATAATGCCCACGCCAAGCTTCTTGAAGCCACTGGTGGATCGGGTATCTGTTCTAGAGATTTCTTCCTACCAGACATTCCTAATGCTACAGTACTTTGTTCACCTTTCTCACTGAGCTTATTTAATTTTGAGACTGAATCATTTATGAACTTACTAGTTTACTGACTTGGGTTGTTTCTACTTCTGGCTGTTGAGAACAATGCTGCAATGAATAACCATGTGTAAGATTTTTTTGGGAGTATGCAAACTGTGTGTAAGTTTTTTTAGGGGCAGAAGTGCCTTGTTGTATGTTAGCTTTACAATTTCTAAGGAACTGCCTGTTTTCTCAAGTCCAACACACAATGGTTCCAGTCTTTCCACATTCTCAACAACACTTGGCACTGTTCTTTTGTTTTTTCAAGACTGGGTTTCTCTATGTAACTCACTCTATAGACCAGGCTGGCTCTGACTTACAGAGATCTGCCTGCCTCTTCCTCCTAAGTGCTGGGATTAAAGGTATCCATCACCTTGAGACGGGGTTTCTCTGTCTAACTTTGGAGCCTGTCCTGGAACTTGCTCTGTAAACCAGGCTGACGTCGAACTCACCTGCCTCTGCCTCTCACGTGCTGGGATTAAAGTCAAGCACCACCACTTCCTGTCACTGTTCCTTTTTTAATTACAGCTATTTAGGTACGTTAACGTGGTATCTCATGTGTTTCTGATTTGTATTTCCTTATTAGTGATGAAGCAAATTATCATTACATGTTTATTGATCATTCTATATTTATATTGCCTTTGAAGAAATGTCTCAATTAATAAGCCCTTTTCCTTTTGATTGTTACACAGATCAGTCAGGCTGCCCTCTCTCTGCACACAGATGACCTCAAAGTTGATATCCTGCCTCAGACTCCTGAGTGTTGGGATTGAAGGCATGCTCACTATATCCAGATTTTTTTTTTTTTTTTAAATCTAATACACTCCCTGACACCATCCAAACACTCACAGCTCTTAAGTCTTCTTTTCCATACATATCATGGGCCATCTTTGTGAACCCCAAAGTTAGACCTTTGGCTTAAAGAGCACTGGAAAGCTTCAAGAGGCCAGAAAATTCCTCATGTAGGGCTATCCTGCATTAAAGAATGTTCAACAGAACTTCTACTTAGTCTAGGTGTCAGCTGTGCCACTCAAGCTGTTAACAGCCAAAAATAATTCTAGATACCCAGTACCACTTGGTTGGGGAGCAGTGGCAGACCAAGGGCACTGTACCTGGCATCTTTATGCTGGAGGTGTATTTAAACAGGATGATCAGCACACCAAAAATATGCTCCCTGCAGACTTAGGTGACTTTCTAGGTGAGGGCTTACCCTCTCTGAGGAGGGGATGGGAGGTGGGGTGGGGGAAGCAGGAGGAGAAGAGGGAGGGAGAACTGGGATTGGAACATTTAAAGTTCCCTAATCTGTAGCAACAGTAACAGACAGTGTTTGGTGCTTTTAATTTGAATTTGGAAAGTGGGCAATACAAAACCTGGGGACAGAGGTGACTTAAGAGCACTTTCTGGACATCCATAATTTCTCCACCAGCCTTGTCCATCATTTTTTGTAGCAAACAGTGGCAATCTATAGCTGTGGTGTATAGTAGAGTAGCCACCAGCTATGCAAGATCACTGAGCACTTGGCATGTGACTAGTATCGCATGGACAGAATAGAATTCTTAAGTTTTGTTTAAATGCCTACCATGGATCTAAGGACACTTGGCTGAAGGCTTACACATATAAAGTCTAATATCACGGAAACTCAAGATTTATTTTACAACAGCTGTAGCCAAGACTCCAATGTGCTGTTGTGCTTTCTTTCAACTGGTATTGTTTAAGCAGCATTTCATAACTCCCACCCAAATCCCATCTCGACAGTTTTCTTATGAAACTAGGGTCCATGAGGGCATATTCCCCTGAATCTGATCACATAAAGCCTGGGGGGTGGGGGTGGTCACTGAACAGTCACACAGCCTTCACCTTATTTTCCTCTACACTGGCTGTGAAGTTAAATATTTCCTGGTTCCTGCTTCTATCCTTTTCTAAAAGGGAAAATGTTGATTTCTGCTATTTTACCTAGTCTTTGTCAAAGATCTAATCCAGATAATACTTCCAGGATGTGAAAAACACACAGAAGGCTGGGGGCAAAAAGGTAGCAGTGATTAATTCTTGGCCGCATTCACTGGCCAGACACCCTGTTGGGGCTCCTAACAGGCCTTTAAATTCTGAGGAGACTTCAGTCTTAAAAATCTGCTACAGTTTCTGAGCATTCATTAGCAGGGAGAGCTAGAGTGCTGCTATCACCAGACAAAAGCACGGCCCCCAGCACCAAGGACAGATGTGCTAGGTTCTGTTGTTATCTAGCTGGTGCTGGCCAAAATCTACAAAACCTGAATATTGACTTGTGAGCACTTGTGAGCAACGGACAGTGGCTCTCAAGGGTGCATGTGTGGGGCTTTCTGGGAGGACCTTTAGGAAATACAGTTTGCTGTTTGTAATACTGCAAACCTCTTCCTATTGGATTTCTAGTCTGGAGAAGACACAGATAAGGTGGACCAGGTCAAGCTCTTATCAACAAAAACCAAGCTCAATAGACATGGCGTGAATTCCAAGCCCACCACTTTGGCTCCAGCAACAGGCATATCATTCAAGTACAATTCTAAGGAAAAGCATTCATTTTACTGGGCCAGTTCTTCAAACTTCCACTCCTGAAGTCCAGCCTTATTTCAACCTGGTATTTTGTTCAAGCAATGTTTCAGTTCCCACACAAACCCAACCTTGGAAATTTTCTTAATTGAGATCAACAACCCCTAACCCGTACCCCCAAGTTTTTGCAATATCGTTATTTATTTATTATTAATTATTATTTTTGTAGACAGAGGTTTCACTTTGTAGCTCTGGCTGGCCTGGAACCCACTATGTAGACTAGACTTGTCTTGTACTCAAGAGACCCACCTACCTCCACCTCTATCTCCCCAGTGGTAGGATTAAAGTCACATACCACCATGCCTGGACAAGCCTGTATTTATAATGCACTTCTAGGGAAAGGGAAGTTCATAGTTCTCACTAAGTTCTTAGTGATTCATTACCCTAAAAGATACATGTAGCATTTTCAGAATGCTTTACAAGTGCATCACCTACACAAATGAAAACATTCCTCTGTCAATTAATAATGCTTCTTCTTTTTTTTTTTTTCTTTACAGTACTTGGTATTTTTAAGTCATTTAGAAGGTCCACACATCACTTCTCCCAGATTAAGGGCTAGTCAGCGCTTGGTGTGAGGGATAGATAAAACGGATGTTAAGACAGTTTGGGGAAAATGACTGTCAATTCTGTACCCTCTTCATGACTTTTCCATCAAGAAACAATGACCATTTTATACCTTTTTAAGTCAAGGCTGGCCATAGGATTGACTCTGGTCAAACCAGCAAGGCCAGGTTGAAGTGCTTAACTTTGAGGTCTCCATTCTTATGCTACTTGAAAGACCAGGACCTCAACTTTCCAGCAATGCCAGCCTACATCACAAATACATGAATGAGGCCAACCCAGACCATTTTGTCTCGGTCAGGCAGACTTGAATCTAAAAAAATGTTACCAGGCTAACTCATGAGATTATTAGCAATAAAAAGCCATTTTATTTAAGTTTAATGTGACTTTCTACACAGAAGACTAGGATTCATTAACTGTCAAAGAAAAAATTCAACTGCCAACAAGAGCCACAGGGAGTTCTGAGCTTGGCTAGTCTTCTAAGTTTTTGTTTTTTTAATTCTATAAGGTCTCACAACAGAATTCTCATCAGAAGTCTCACTAGATTCTCTGGGTACCAGGAAATACTCTGCTTGAATCTGCTTGAATTCTTTTAAAAAATTTCTTAAAGGAATAAGCCTTGGGGTGGGGTGGGGGTGGGGAGAAGCACCACCTACAAATGCTACTTACTTTAAGTAGTTCATACATATAAAACCGGATATCAAAGTCAGTCAGGATCTGGTAGAGTTGCTGAAACAGATTTCAGAGAACAGAAAGTCAATTTAGTCTGTATTTGCTATTCTAAACTCTGGCCTTCCTCTGCAAACTTAGTTACAACAGACACCCACAACTTCACTGCCTGACCTGGAATGGCAAAGATGAATAGTCAGCATCCCACCTTCAGTAGAGAGGGGAAAAGTTAACACTTCAGCCAACTTGATCTTTGCTACTTACTTTTCCACAATTCTAATAACCATAGCCACACTGCTGTGAAGTCTAGTTGTCTCCATCAAGCTAAGTCCACCCAGCACATAGCACCTGGAGAATTTCCTCAGCTGATGTGGACTGGTATTAGGGGAATGAAATGGTTTGTAAAGGAACAGGAAAGTGAGGGACATTTGGAGATGCCCTCTGTTCCCTACCAAACAATTCCTGGCTGAAAAAGATTTCACAGGCAATAACAGACATTTTTTTAAAATGGAATAAGGCATTAAAAAATAAAAAGGTGCCAGGCGGTGGTGGTGCACACCTTTAATCTCAGAACTTGGGAGGCAGAGGCAGGTAGATCTCTGTGAGTTTGAGGCCAGTCTTGTCTACAGAGTGAGTTCCAGGACAGGCTCCAAAACCACAGAGAAACCCTGTCTCAAAAAAATAAAAAACCCACAAATAAATTAAAAAAGGGGGGACGGGGCAGCAGTGTCAAAGAGACCAAAAGACAAGCTAATACACTCATGGAAACTTTCATTACTCATAATCCAGAGATCCACCTCATGGAGTTCTGAAATAAATTTCAATTTCTTGGAGCAGAGTATCAGAGTACCACAAGCAAAGTTAGACATTGTTGTTCATAGAAAATTTCAAGTAAATCTTTCCCTGTCAATCTAGGCAACCCTTTCTATAAACAAAGTTAATTGAAAAGACTTTAAACTTTCCCTCTATTAGAAAAGAGAATCACACATCACAGGGATGCGCCAAGGAGCAAAGATTGGCTACATTGGGTTTCTCTGTGTAGCTTTATAGATCAGGCTGGCCTACACTGTGATTCTATAAGAGGAAAATAAAATCACTTATCTGAATACATGACAAAGAAACTAATAAAAAGCACAGGTGTAGAGGAAGAGGCCACTCCTCCCTTCCCCCTTTAGGGAAGAGTAACTTGCCTTTCCAGTTTAGTGGGACTGTATAGCTCTATCAACCTCAGACAGCTGCTGGCTCAGGCCCATAAGCTGTGGAGCTGCTGAGTTGCTAGGGTCTCACCCCTGGGCTGGGGATAAGCCGTGGGGGGTGGGGTGGGGTAGCTGAGCTGTCCTCACACTTACTCACCATTTCTACCCTCGTAGCTTCAGCTTCCTAAGAACCAAACCCCAGGTTTCTGTTCCCAGCCCTGTGCTTCAAGACAAGTTTCTTATCGAGTACTTGGTCACAACTGGCAACCAGAATATTCAGGTCTAGGCTTTGATACCAACTTGGATACAAGAGAGATCAACTGCACAGGCTGTACTAAACTGAACCATCAGGTCAATAAATAGCCCAGAAAAGAGAAAAGATCAAATTCTCAAACCCTCAGAATGCTAGGATTTTTTTTTTTTTTTTAACTTCTAGAAAACCAATATGGGCTATTTTATTTGAACTTTTATCTGTAAAAGGTTTTCCTTTTGTATCATGTACTATATCAATCATCCTGTAAAGGGCCTACAGTATAAAAATAAATGTCCTTGGCCTGTCAACAAAGTACTTCTGACTATTCCAACCAGAACCAATTTTACTGAACATGAAGGACATTACCTACACAACAGCGCGTGGCTGGCCACCACTCAGCCTGACCTCCTTTTTCTTGGTGTTCATGGTGGGTAAGACTAAACTATATCTGGACCAAGTAACCTCATGGGCTTATGATTAAGGCCTCTCCAGGGGCTAATCTGGCTTCCTCTAATAGTTGTTGCTCCAATCTCCACTGCAGGCTTCAGGAATCACCTTCTCTGAAGATACCAACACGTATCTGTTCCTCCATTGTCCCTTCCAGTGCTCCTCTCCAAACCATCCCATCAGCTTTCTATACAGAAATAGGGGTCTCTCCTTTCTTTGAACTCTAGGCTATGCTCTCCCTCCAGGGCAGTGATCCTCAAATTTCCTAATGCTGAAACCCTTTTATATACAGTTCATGTTGTGGTGACCCCCAACCATAAAATTATTCTGTTGCTACTTCATATCTGTAATTTTGCTACTGTTACGAATAGTAATATAAATATCTGATATGGGACCCCAGAGGGGTCCTAACCCACAGTTTGAGAACCACTGCTCTAAGGTGTTCACAGAGTGAGACTCTCAGTGGTCCTAGAATTAGCACCATGTACTGGCAGTGATCTGGAGTTCTGAAGGTAAAACCTCACTGTGTCAACATGAACCTGCTGCCTGCCTGAGTAGCTGGCTATATACATATGAGGGAAACAGCTGCCCTCAGCTGATGGCCACTACTGTGTTAATTCAGAATCTCTGAACTCTCCCCACCTTCCAAAGCATCATGAACTCACTGCACAGCTATACCCTACACCCATTTTCTCCATCAAACTCTCAAACTCAAGCCCTCATATAGCAGGGTAGCATGCCTAGCTTCTCCACTTGCTTTTATAATGCTCACCAGTTAGTGGAACAAAACAAAACCTATCTTCCATGAGAACTACCAGAGTTCATGTGAAATTAGAAAGAGAAAGTTCCTAAGAACCACACTTTCCCCCCAGCTATATAGAGAATATTATTAACCAAGCAACTGCAGAATGTGGCAGGAAGTAAGCTTTGCTCACATTTGCATAAGAGACTTATCAAAAACATACCAAGCTATGTTTCCCAGAAGATTATGGGCTCACAAGTAAAGGCACTTGCTACCACACCCAACGACCTGAGTTAGATCCCTAGAGCCCACATGATACAAAAAGGAACTGACTCCCACAAGTCTGATTTACACACACACACAGACACACAGACAAATAAAATGAAATAAAAAAAGGGTTATGAAGGTAGTAAGGAAGAAACCACTTACCTATTCCAGTTCAGCTGCAAAGCCTCAAATACACTGGTGTTTCCCTAGAAATCAGTTTTACTACAGGAGTAAACTAAGGAGCCTGGTTGAATATGTCTCTGACTTTTAAAAATAAACCTTGCAACATCTGAAGAGGAAAATGGCAGACAATGCAACTTGATAATCAGGCTTTAGGTCTGTGCAAAGTCAGACACCCAAGGAATGGCCACAGTGGGCCCCAAAGAGTTGGGGGCAGGGCAGTGCATCATAGCCAGTCAGATCCCATACACAGTCTTTGCCTCAATGGCTACAATTCAAGAGGACTTCATTTCCAATGGACTATGACCCAGTACACAAGAGCACAGGTATGAGAACAGAGTGAGCATACACAGTTCAGACTACATGAAAAAAATCTCAGGGCCCAAATGGAGGAAGACCAAAAAGGAGGGAATATAAAGTAAAAGACAGGTGTTATTTCATGTTGTAGTCACCAATTTAGATACTGCTAACATGTAACCTTCAAGACAGACCCCCCCCCCCAAAAAAAAACTTTTTGGAAATTTAGAGAACTAGAACACATTTTTAATCTAGTAAATAAACTTTACAATCTGAAAATGTCACAAGTCTTAAGAAAATGGTTAATGACCCCTAAATGTAGTCTACTGGTTCCTCTAATGAGGAAACCATCCAGTCTGTAAGCCCCACAGGACAAGCTAGCACAGAGCCACTACTCAAATGTATCAAGGTGAACCTACCACTTTCTCAGGAATGAAGCTCAATTAAGTCTTACCAATATTTAATGTTAAAATTTGGTAACTGACATGTCTGAACAGAATGCCTTTTCCTTTAGACTTGTTCTGAGACATGGTCTTCCTATGAGCTCAAGCTGACCCAGAACTCACTATGTAATCCAGGTTGGCCTTAAACGTAGATACAATCCTCCTATCTTGGTCTCCCAAGCACTGAGTTTACAGGTGTATGTCACCATATCTCATTTTCACTTGAGACACTTTCCAGCTAAGGAGTCTGCTGTTAAGTGGTCTCTCTGAGAGACAATCCTCCCCACTTTTCTTTAAGTTTTGTCTTTTTAAGGGCCACCATGTTTCTTCTACTGTTTAACTTTGACATAAAGAAAACAATCAGTGGTTTTAAAGGGGAACTGACCAAACTAGCACCTCTCCCATGAAGTGAAACACTAGGGGAAATGATTAAAGAACTAAGCATCATGGTTTAAAACATGACCCACTTTAGAATTACAAAGCAAACATCAACAGACTCCAAATAACCAGCACTATACAGGCTGGGTGTCTGCAGTGCTTGGGATCAAAAGTATTTGTTTGCTTGCTTGTTTTTTTGAGACAGGGTTTCTCTGTGTAGTCCTTGCTGTCCTGGTACTCGCTCTATAGACCAGGCTCTCCTTGAACTCAAGAGACCTGCCTGCTTCTGCCTCTTGAGTGCTGGGATTAAAGGTGTTTCTAGTATCAGGCATTTTCCAGCTTTTAGAATATTTGCATAAGCATAATAGTATCTTGGTGACGGGATCCAACATAAAATTCATTTATGGTTTTGTTTTGGGGTATTCAGGGATTTAAAAAAAAAATAGGGTCTCATGTAGCCCAGGTTGACCTCAAATTCCAAATCCTTCAGCTTCTGCCTTCTGAGGACTAGTATTAAATGCCCCAGTCACATCTGGACAAATCCAAAATCCATTTGTGTTTCATATGTTTCAAACTTTTTTTTGAGACAGGATCTTACTACGTAGCTCTGGATGGCTTCAAACTCAGAGATCCACCTGTCTCTACTCGGCAAGTGGTGAGATTAAGGGCATGTACCACCATATTCAGTTCATCCAATATTTTAAATAGTTCTGATCATGAAACAAAACTTTCTTGGTGTGCTTCCCACTTTCTACATTGTGGGGGTGATAATGATACTGTGAAGCACTTCATATCTGTGATTTTTAAACCAGGGATGCACAACCTGGATAGATCATATTTTAAGTACAATCAAATTAGGAGTCAACAATAAAGGACTTTTTGAAAAGCCCAGTTGATCTTAAACTATATACTCACAAACATAGTTCTAAAAGACATTATGGGGACAATAGTTACTGAGAAAGTTCTGAAAAAGGCCACGATAGTAGATGGATTACAGTGTAAATAACTAAACTTCTTGGGTACTGCAGCTAACGTAGGAAAATACTCAGGTTCCATTAACAGCACATTCAAGAACCAAGTACGATAATGTCCAACTAACTCCAAGATGACTTAGCAAAAAGATAAAGCTAACAATGGGAGGGAAGGACAGATTTAACAGTAAGGGCATCAAATCACTGACTGGCCAATCAACAAGTGGATAGTTGGCCACTGTGCAGAAAATCTGGGAAAAAAAATCCCCAAACTACAAGTTAAAAATGTGCATTTCTAGTTCAAAAACCTTCATCTAACATTAACAAATAAGAATTTAGGAGGACAGCTGCCTAGATTACACTTATACTTTTAGTGACTACAATGAGGAAAATCTGCCTAAACTTATTTATAAATGTAATATAACCTAGATACCAAAATGAGATATCTGCATTATGAAGGGGAATATAATATACAGATCCATATTGATTATCAATTGGTTCCCCCTCCCCTCCAAAAAATCACCAAACAATGTGTGACCACTGCGCTGCTGCTTTTATTTTGTTGTGTAGTACTAGTGATGGAACCTAAGGACCTATGTACACTAGGGACACATCAGTGCCACTTCAAGCCACAACATAAGCCAGTCACTGCCGTCTCACCCTGACATTCAACCAGGACAAACTTTGGATAATACCTTAAAGCCAGTTATTATTGCACTTCATACTAAAAGAGAAAAAGATGAACAGAAAAACCAAACCTTCCCATTCAGGCAGACACAGAACAAAATAAAAAATCCTTAAGGACATAAAGACCAACAGATTGCCCATTTGTGACCTGTCATCCAATCTAGGAGAAAAACTAATTATCCAAATGCCATCATTCACCATTCCAAAACACACATGCTACCTGATATTTAGTGTTCTTTTAGGGTGACCAAAATAGCATGGTTCAGTATTCAAAGGGGATCCCCACCGTCTGCTTCATCTGGAGGTCCTCTAAAGTACAGCAGTTACAGACCTGGGAGGGATCAACTCTAGAACTGGAGTGAAAGAGACAACACTCATGGATGTAACGGACTCAAAAAGCTGAAAAGTCAGCCCTAAGTCCACAGCTTTAAACTAAGAAGCACAGAAAGGCCAGATATGGACAGAGCCAGTCTGAGAGAGAGCAAACAGCAAGCTGGAAACAGCTGCATAGCACTCAACTAGAGATCCCAATTGCTGAGTGTGTTCTCAAGACAGGGGCCTTCCTGTCTTGAGGACATTCCACCAACAGGAGCAGTAACTTAACAGAGCCAAACAACAAAATGGTGAAGAAAAACAGATAAAAGGCATGGAGAGAAAATGCAATCATCTCTATGAGAAAATAGATGATATTACATAAAACACAAGCGAATAGGACACTATTTTTAAAAATTCAGAGACCAAAACAGACTTCTAAAATACAAAGTCTAACATTTGAATTATATTCTAGACGTGGGAACAAGAAAGGGGCGAGAAATCAAAGAATGCTGACACTATGGAAGCCATGAGCTTTCAGATGGAAAAGGCCCAGCAAGAATACATAACAAAGGATGAAAGGAGCCCACAGGAAGGCACACATCTGATGATCATTCAGAAGACTAAGAATGAAGAGAAATTCCTAAACACTTCCAGAAAATGAAAAGAAAAATTTGTTGATCAAACAGGAGGGGCTCTAGTGCTGACAATGGAACAAATGCTTTGAAACTGAGGAAATCATGAATTCCAACACAGAATTATACCCCACTGAAGACATAAGTGAGGCTAAAAGATGGTCTCAAATATCCCAAGTCTCAAAAACTACGGATTTCCACAATCCCTTTGAAAGCACCCATTAGAGCATCCATGTCTTCAGAACACCTCCTTTAAGGGTTTCCCAGGATGTCAGAATTCCTGTCAACTCCCCACAGAAGCCTGATACAGCACCTGGCAGATACCACCTTTGAGAAACACAAAATGCTGAAGCCACACTGATTTTACCTGTAAGGGAGTTATAATAACAAAGCAGTTGTTACATACAGGAAAGGCTGTATTAGATATAAAATTTACTACTCATTTTAAGTAAATGCATCTTTTTCCCTTAGATACCCTTAAGAGAGATTCCCTAAGAAAATTACATGTGCAAATAAGGACTCCTTGCCAGAGAGTTGTAATCACCCTCAAGTCCTTTCATACCCCTGGAAATCACATCATTATTTTGTTTTCAAATGGTGTTCTAAAAAAGGTTTTCTTTTTGCACACCTTAACATTAGAAACCTACTAGTAGGTTCATGTTTTTAGTTAAAATTAAGCAAATCCATAAGCACATGGCTGCTTATTTCTGTAATCCCAGCACTCAGGGGACTGAGGCAGAAAGGCAAACCTGGGATAGACTATCTCTCAAATATCAGACAATGTTTAAAACATTCTTTTAAAAGAATGCTTCAGTTGGGAACATTGGCAGACACTTGTAATCTCAGTACTTAGGAGTCTGAAGTAGGAGGATAAAGCCTGAGGCCAATCTGAGTTAAATGAGAAACTATCTTAAAAAACTTCAGTGTATAGCTGGGCAGTGGTGACATACAACTTTAATCCCAGCACTGAGGAGACAGGGGCAGGCAGATCTCTGCGTTCAAAGCCAGCCTGGTCTAGAGAATTCCAGGACAGTCAAGGATACACAAAGAAACCCTGTCTCTTAAAAACCAAACCAAACATACACATAAAAAACTTCAGTATATAAAATAGTATATCCTCATAAAAAAGATAATGTAAGAACCCCAGGACAGGGTTCTTTGACAACAGGGACTCGAAGTAGGCTTTTGATATCAACTGCTTTGGACACTGAATGTATGAACACATTTAGCAGCTTCAATCTAATGACTCCTATCACAGAAGTTCTGTATCCACTTATCTTTTCCTCTTAGTAGTGGTAGATCTCATGAAAATCAAAGTTAATATCCACTAAAACTGTGCTGCATAAAACAGGTGCTACAGATGAGGCATTACATCTCCTATTACAGATGAGAGGACCCCACAGTCCTCTCAAGCAGCTAACTTGAGAAAGCAAGTCAAAGGCAATGAGTAAAACTCTTCCAAATTCAAGAACCCAAAACATGATCTGTGCCATCATTTGGGATCAAAGCTGCTATCTAACTTACCCTGACTGCTTTGATTTGAAGTTCAAGCAGTATCCACTCCACCCCCTCCCACTCCCCTTAAACCCCATGCCAGAAAGAAGCATACACACCTTAAAATCTGTATTATTGATATATTCAAATACCAAAGCTGGTGTCTTTGACTGAAAGAGAGAGAGAGAACAGTGATTCTTTTTAGATACTCAGACAGTAATAAGGTAATTTGTAATGGCCCACCCTCAAACCTCACAGATGAAAAAGAGGATTCCCTCATAGGGACAGCCTGGGTTGTTTTTTTCCCCCTAGATTTGTTATTTATTTATGTGTTTTGTGTGCATATGTATGTTTTCATCTCTAGAGCTGGAGTACTAGGCAGTTGTGTTAGGATCTGAGTTCAGACCCTCTGGCTGAGTAGCAAGCACCCTCATCTGCTAAGCACTCTCTCCAGACCTAAAACCCTGTTTTGTTGTTGTTTAATTTTGAAGTATTTATGATGTCTGGATTGCTTCAGAATAACTGGGAAAGTGTGAGGTGGGAGAGGGGCAGAGTTATAGGTGGCATGAACGTGAATACTGCTCAGTCATGACACCCAGGAAGTTCAGGATGCATCCTTCACTTTTGTGTATATGTAAAGTTTTAAAAAGAACGCTATTCCCACAATAACCCAGCAGCAGCCCTGAGAAACACTATTGATTTTACTGAGATTTATACTCAGCAATATCCCAAATTGCCATCTGTATCAGGAGCTGCACACTTCCATCTTGGTTTTAGCAAGATACATATGACACAGTTTTCATAATCTGTTAAGTCTTTTTAGGGTCCTAAAAGATCATCTGGGATCAGAGGTGAACGTCTATAATCCAATTTTTAAAATCACTATAGCAGGAGAGACTGCTCATTGGGTAAGGGCACTTGCTATGAAAGCAAGAGGTCCTTAGTCCAAATCCCCAGCACCCATGCAAAAGCTGGATACTGTAATCTCCAGGAGATGGAGACAAGAAGATCCCAGAAGCTCGATGTCCAGTCAGTCTAACCGAAAAGTTCTGGCCTCTAAACACATGTACCCCCCACTCATCTGTACAAAGTACATAACACATAAGACATATGCTACACATAAAACTTACTTACCGTAGTCTTTAATGAAATTAGTTCAGTACTTCCTATAGAAATCTAGACCTTCAAACATCAGGTATATTTAGGGAAATAAAATCATGCTAATTGGAAGAAATAATATTTCAAAACTGGGAGAAAAGCATAGGTTTTAAGGGTTATAGAAATACAAACTCAACTATGGAGAACTTTAGCTCAAGGACAAAGCACAGGTTCTTAGGAGTGGGCCACAACGTGCATGCGTGCGTGCAAGCAATAGAGTCCTGGGAGCACCAAGAAAAATGGGTCTAACAGTCTAACACTGTCATCAAGAACCTGACCTTTTTACAGACTTGTGTGAACCTAATCATCTCAAATTCAAGGGCTAAAGGTCCCTTTCTATTTCTGCCTACATTATTACACTAAAATAGGCTTATTAGGCAAACACGTATGTATCTGCTATGTGCATGAGTACAGTTATTCAGAGGCCAAGTGTCTGATCCCTCTGGAACTGGCGTTACACGTGGCTGTTGGTACTTGACAAGGGTGCTGGGAATATAACTCAGGTTCTCTGGAAAATAACATGAGCTTTTAACCACTGAGACATGTCTCATGCCCTACTTTAATTTTTTCTCAAGTGTGTACAAATATTAAGTCAGGTATCAGTAAGTTCAGCTAACAGAGAGGGAGGGAAGGGAAGGAGGGAAGAAGTAGGGGGAAGGAAGAAAGGGAGGTAAAGGAAGGTGGGACACATACACCATTTGTCTTCCACGTGCAAGGCCCTTAGGTTTAGTCCCTAATACCATCTTCTTCTGAAGTCTTATCATCCCTCCAGGGGTCTATAGCTCTCACTGGCTTCAAATATTAAGTAAGTAGCTCAGGGTTAGTCACCAATCTGAAGTAGGATGGGATATATTATTTAATGAAATCAGTTATAAACTGGCATATAATCACCCCTTATCAGTCTTGATTAGGGTCCAAAGAAAAATCTTTTCTCATCCTACATCACTGTGCAGCTGGGCAAATTACTTAGCCTTTGTAAATTTTTAGGTTTTTGTTTTGTTTTTCAAGACAGGGTTTCTCTAGGTAACAGCCCTGGCACTCACTCAGTAGAACAGGCTGCCATCGAACTCAAGAGATCCGCCTGCCTCTGCCTCCCGAATGCTAGGATTAAAGGCGTGCAGCCCTCTCATATCTTTTGTTTCCTTACAGTACAATGTCCACAATTGCAGTACTGATCCCCTGTATCATTGTGGGGACTAAATGGGGTGATACAGCTAAATACTCAGCAGTGCCTGGCATACAGCAGACACTCAGGCTAGCTGTTATAGTATGAGGATGTCCTCAGCATATAGAAGCAAGATCTGCTTCTTAAATAAACTTAAATAAAACTGTCATAGAGAACAAAGAAATAATCTCAGATAAAGCAGGTGAACAATAGAAACAGGATAGAAATGGCACCAAATGGGTTTTGCAAGGATGGCTTAGCAAACCAGAAATACTCTGTCATTTTTCCCTAGGGAAAGGAAACAAAAATAAACAGCACCCCTAGAATGGGTCAAAAGTAAGCATGTTATTTTTTTTTAATAAAAAATGATTGTTGTATATATGTTTGTACATGTATGTATGCTAGCACATGTGCCATGGCACACACATGGAAGTCAGGGGCCAACTTTATGGAGTAGGTTATCTAACCTAACATAGTTTCTAGGGATCAAACTCTAGTCACCAGGCCTGTGAGGCAAGCACTTGTACCTACCGAGACATTCTGCTCCAAATCAAGCATTTTAACAAAAGCATTTTAGTTGTAAAAATATGCATATATTTTAGTTGTACATATACAGCATGAGGCTCTTTGTAGTGGATGCAGAACTAAAGACTAGCATATGGAACACCAAGGCTTCTTTTTTAAAGGACTGTGGTCCAGGTCCTGCTTAGTTCTCTATACTAGAATCACAGGGATTTCCAATTATCAGGCTTACTAGAGTGAGGTAAGATAATGCAAACAAAAAACAAACAAACAAAAACAGTCAATAACAGGTGACAAATTGGGGTAGGTTTTTTCTTTGTACATAGACAGCATTTAGTGGTGGTAGCTACCTCATCACTGGGCTATGACAGTTGTATGGTTTTTAAACCCACTTAGCAGTAAATATCAGTGCCCTTAGTCCATTATGCAGCACCAAACAAGGCTCTGGGTGTTAAACAACACCCCACCCCAATCCACTAGCACCCTCCCCAGCCACCAGGCACCTACCACAGGGTCCTTTACAGTGTCAATCAGCTTAATGATATTTGTTCCACCTCGAAGGTTCTCCAGAATCTTAACCTCTCGTTTTATCTTCTTTTTCTTCACTGGCTTAAATACACAAGAGTAATCAGAAGTGAGACTTCTTTTGAAGTTAACATAATAAATACAGCTTTAAACAATGTTAAGGCAACAGCATAGATCATTTGCTGTGCACTATGTTGTGTTAAAGAATATGCTTAGAGGAGAAAAAGTGAGCTTACCATTGTAATCCTTTAGATTAAACAATTTATAGTTTATAGCTTATGTGGCAAGATCTTTAAGTAGTAACATCTAGGGCATTTAGCAAACTTAAATATCCACGTAGTATTTTAAAAATAAATGTATGCTTACTGGAGGACAGCCAAATGTGTTGTAGCTTTGAAAAGCTGTAGATCATGGACAAATGGAAAAACTGAAACAAAATGGACACTTGCTCTTCCAATAAGTTACATATAATTGTGTCTTGGGGCAAGAGCCAGTTCACTGACATCAAGTTACAAACTTGTTTCCAAACTGTTGGCTCCCATTTCCTGTTGCCACCCCCACTTCCTTAATATTTAGAATCAAATCAGCTCAGAGCCAGTAACTCTTCCAACAGATCTCATTCCTAGAGAGAGAAAGCTGTTGGATCAGCAAAGGAGAAAGCTGATCTCATCCAGCAGTGACTACTAACTGCTAAGCCACCAACCTACAAGATGGGAAATTATAGGCCTTCTTAGAAATACTCCCATTATGTGTATCATTTCCTGTCTGAAACAGGATCTAAAGTCAACAAATAAAAGCAGTTTTGAAAAGGTAAGTGAGCCATAATCAATGACTTGCAAGCCACTCAGGACAACGACAGACACATTAACTCTCTGGCCTAAGTCCATTCACCCTCACGAGGCCTCTAAGCAGGAAGGTCAGTCACAGCTAACAGGTGAAGAAGCCTAGCAATCTGACTGCCCCAGCAGCACCCTCTTCACCTCTGTGTTGTACAAGAGAGACTGTACTAAGGAAAAGGACTACTTTATTGTTAAAACACTGCTATTAAAACAGCACAGGTAAAGAGAGAATGGACTTCATGAAATAATAAAACAACATCTAAGAAGCTTTGGGCTGGAAGGGCTGGGAGATGGTTCAGTGAATAAGAGTGATTGCTGTCAAGCCTGAGGACCTGAATTCAATCCCTGGAACCCACTCTCACAATTTGTTCTCTGACCATCACATGCTCTTCCTCAATTCAACACACAGTATATGTCATTTTTGTTTGTTTGTTTTTTGAAACAAGGTTTCTCTGTGTAACAGCTCTGGCTATCCTGGAACTGGCTCTGTAGACCAGGGTGGACTTGAATTCAGAGACCTGCCTGCCTCTGCCTCCCAAGCGCTGAGATTAAAGGGGTGCACCCATATAAATGTAATTTTTTAAAGCTCAGAGATAATAAATAATCTCTTGGTTACTGAAACATACCCCAGAACAAGAGCAGGGAAGGTGGGCAGGCTAGAGAAATGGCTCAGAGGACAAGAGCTATGCAAGCAGGAGGACCCAGGTTCAGACCCCCAGTGCCTATGTAAAAGCCAGGTGTGACTGCAGCTTGTTGGGTGACCAGCCTTGAAGAATAAACACTGAGCTCCACGTTTAACAAGAGTCTGTCTTGGGGAAGTAAGGTGGAAAGCGATAGGCCACACACTACTGTTGCCCTTTCGCCTCCACTGGGATACACAACCCACATCCACAGCAGAAGACAGACTGGAAGGAGAGCACAGCACCACCTGCAACAGTGCCTACCTGAGGAACATGTGTAACTGTGTGTTTACAAGCCAGCACCACACTTCTCCACCCTGCCAGGGTTCCCAGTACAGAGATGTTTAGCATGCCTCTTCCCCATCTCTCCTAGAAACCTTACTTCCTTGGTCTTCAGTGTTTGGGGGAAATCAAGTATCACACCACCCAATTAAAAACAGTCAGGGAAGGAAACATACTTGGCAAGTAGTCCCAGGTCTAAAAAAATACCAATGTCATGAAAGGTATGGAACAACCACTTCAGATTTAAAACAGAAGACAACTGGATGTTAACACACAACTTGAGATTTTCCTTACAGTGAAGAGTGCTATAAAGGAAACTAGCAAACATGAACTAAAAACCATAGACTAGGTAACAGCATTGGATTAATGCTGATTCTCATTTTTGAACATGATACTACAGAACTGTGTGAGAAACCAGTTCTAAAGAAAATACTGAAGTACTTAGGGATGACTGTGATTTACTCTCAAACACATCAGAAAAAAAATGTTAAGTATACTATATTTATGTACACACATCCCAAAACATGTTTATCTACATACATGTGGTTTATATGTGTAGATATGTTGCATATTTATGGGAGGAAAACAAAGAGAAAGATAAAGCCAATGTCAGCATTTGAGGAATCTGGTGAAAGAAAGATGTTTGGGAGTTTTTTGTTGTTTTAACACATATATTTTGAGACAGGGTCTCTATGTAGTCCTGAAACTCACTATGTACACCAAGCTGGCTTCCAAACAACAGAGCCCGGCCTGACTCTGCTCCTCAATGTTAGAATTAAGGCTATACGGTTGACTCTTACAGCTCTCTTGTAATTCTCAAATTAAAACTGGCTATCTTCTATACATTTAAACTCAGGTAACACCACTTCTGTTAAAAAAAAAAAAAAAAAAAAAAAAGCCTGCAGCCAGAGCCTTGCACAATCAAGACAGCTCTTCTGCTTCTGACAGCACCCACTCTCAGAGGGACAGCCAATACACAAGCTGCTTTTATGCCATTTTCTCCAGCCTTGTTGCTCCTCAGATCCCCACAGGAATACAGCTCCTAGAACCCAGAAAGACTGAGCTGTTTTTCATCTTATCTAACGGGAACTTACAGTGCAGCTGAAGCATGTTCTGATGCCCCCAAACTCCCTAGAGCAGAGACTGGGAATAGCTGAGCAACTCTGAAATGGTCCAGTGGAGGGAGCCCACAGCAGCTGGAGTCCTCAGATGCTGCCAGATACCAAGAAGACTCAAAAAAGAAAGTGACCCATCAACCTGGGATACACCCTCCAAAGTACTAAGCACCAGGCAGCAAGCAACTCCATCAGCCTCCTTGTACTGCTCTGAACCTGAGGAAGACTCCAGAAGACTATTAAAAAACTTGGAGAGTAAAGGAGATCTTTTTAATTATACAAATGGAACCAGTGAAGAAAAGAACATTTTTTTTTCAGGGAGGATCAATGACATCTTTAAGAGCTTTACAGGTTTTATAGGAATAGATGCTTTAACTCTGGCCACCAGTTAGTTACACGGCAGAAATCATCTTGAGCATGCTACCAAAGCTCAAGCTCACTTATCTAATTCAGATAGTATCTGTTTCAAAGATTCAAATGGTACTGGTTTAGCTGTTTTCCAAATTGAATTTTTTTTACTCAAAGTAGATAAAGCAGCAAAAAAGTTAACTTGCCATTCTGTTGTAGCCTCTAGAGCACTGGGATCATAAATATATACATACTAACACATACATATATTGAAAAAATATTTAAAGGAAAAAAAAAACATTAAAAAGTGTTAACTACAGCCAGGCATTGGTGGCGTACGCCTTTAATCCCAGCACTCAGGAGGCAGAGGCAGGCGGATGGATCTCTGTGAGTTCGAGGCCAGCCTGGTCTCCAAAGCGAGTGCCAGGATAGGCTCCAAAGCTACACAGAGAAACCCTTTTTCGAAAACCCAAAAAGTGTTAACTACAAAAGCTTGTTTAACATTTAAAATGTTTTTTTTTAAAGATTTTATTTATTTATTTATTTATTTATTTATTATGTATACAACATTCTGCTTCCGTGTATATCTGCACACCAGAAGAGGGCACCAGATCTCATAATGGATGGGTGTGAGCCACCATGTGGTTGCTGGGAATTGAACTCAGGACCCCTGGAAGAGCAGTTGGTGCTCTTAACCTCTGAGCCATCTCTCCAGTCCCCTTAAAATGTTTTAGAAGTACACTCAGAAGACGCAGAGAGGACAAAATGTCTGAAGAAGACGCAGAGAGGACAAAGTGTCTGAAAGCTTCCCACACGTGAAGGGCAGTGCTGGCGATCTGGAAGACCCTTGTTCAAAGTGGCCCTAGGGTAAAGAATGTCTTGTCTACTTACCCAGATCTAAAAAATTTGTAACAAAATACAAGTTTGTGACACAATGCAGAAAGGAGTAGTTGACAAAAACCCATCACCTTCCTACTTATCCAGAGCTTCACTCCTTTAGAACCAGTGCTAAAGAACAGTATTAATTGTAATATAGCATTTATTAATTGCAATTCAGCTTGTTAACTTTTGCTTACCAAAGATGTGGGAATCAGGACCTCAATCCATTCTAGCAAGTATTAAAGACAAAGACCCTTTTAAATTTCTTTCCAAGTTCAATGAGATTGATAAATTCAAGACAGACAATACAGCCACAACTTTTATCCCATTATCAAACCAATGGCCAATAAATAAGGTTATTAATCCATCACTTGCAATGGAGAATTATAATCAACAATGGGTGCCAGGAATGAAGAATGATGGAGGAGGGGAAAAAATTTAGGTAGGCTGACATTTATTTTCAGACATCTTTGAAAACTACCGCACCTGACCTAAATAAAAATATTAGCTGAACAATGTTATTCACAACAACTTTTCCTCTAATCTTTCAAGTCTCATCATTCTAATTACACTACCAATTCCTCAAAGGGAATTATTCTCAGAACTAAAGAAGAAAAAAATAAGATAAGCCGGGCAGTGGTGGCGCACACCTTTGATCCCAGCACTCAGCAGACAGTTGAGTTGGAGACCAGCCTGGTCTACAAGAGCAAGTTCCAGGACAGCCTCCAAAGCCACAGAGAAACACTGTCTTGAAAAACCAAAAAAAGAAAAAAGAAAAAGATAAAAAGGCAAAGTATAAAATCCAAATGGCAAGATAAAAGATATCATTAAGAAAAGAAATAAAAAAGAAAGAGAAGGAAAGAAGGAAGGAAGAAAGGAAGGTAGGAAGGAAGGAAGGAAGGAAGGAAGGAAGGAAGGAAGGAAGCTAGTATGATGGTATA